CTCAAAGAGTAATTGCAGAGAGAGAAGCGTAGAGATTAATTACCTTCATTGTTGGTGGTTGGGGGGTATTTATAGCCCCAAATACTGACATGCATTCCCACATGTAAGTAACTCATTGGGCCACGTGGTGCTGCTCACGTTGGCGTGTCTCCTCCTGTTGGGCCTGTGTGTGCATAGTTGGGCCTGTTATATGTGGCCTGAATTTGGCGTTGGGCCTAATCCCAACATGGCGTTGGGCCTAATCCCAACAAATATATTTTATATATTTAATATTTGTTTTAATTATATTTTATATATTTTTAAAATAATAAAAAAATATAAAAATCACAAAAGTAAAATATCGAGAAGTATTTTCAAGCCCATCAAGCGAAGTGAAAAGCAAAAAATTGGATGAGAAAGACAGCCAAAGAATGTGTCATATGATTAACCTCTTATTTTATTAAGTTTAGAACTTTAAGTCCTTCAACTTACATTGTTGAGTTTTTAACCCTTAAACTTAAAAGTTTAAAGATTTCAATTTCTAAACTAATAGAGTCAGTTAATTTTTCGTTAAAATAAAAGTAAAAATTTACAAAACTAGTTCTTAAAGATTAAAAATATAATAGTTTAGTCCCTAAACTTTAAAAATTAACTAAATTAATAAACTAAAAACAATTAATGAATGACTTTGCCATATACACAAGGGCAATATTTGACATCTGTAATCAAATTAAGTGATCAGCTTAATCTAAATAAAGAATTTTAATTAAGATTAAAGAAAAATTTCTTGGTTAAATTAAAACAGAAAGTTCAAGAGATAAGAATAATAAATACAAATTTTCTTTAATCTCAATTAAAATTTTTTCTTCTAATTGAGTTAATTATTCAATTTAATTACAAATATTTAATACTATTCTCATGTATGTGGCAAAATAATCCATTAATTCTTTTTAGTTTACTAATTTTTAAAATTTTTAAACTTTTAAGACTAAACTATTACCTTTTTAATATTTGAGAACTAATTCTACAAATATTTTTATCCTTACTTTAATGAAGAATTAACGGACACCGTTAGTTTAGAAGTTAAAATTTTTAAACTTTTAAGTTCAAGAGCTAAAATCTCTACAACATAAGGTGAGGGACCAAAAATTTTAACATTAATAAGTTAAAAGGCTAAATACATGCTTTAGTTGAGAATAATACTAGAGTTTAGTGATGACTTTGGAGTTTGGAGCAACCTCTTCAATGAGTAAGTTAGACCTTGGATTTTAGGAAGAAAAGTTTTTCCTCATAGGTTATTAACGTATTCTCATATTTTAATATTATAAAAAAAAAGAATGTAAATGTGAGATTTTTATTTTTTATTTTCTTTTAGCACAATTCTAAACCAATTAACTTTTCTTTTTACTTTTTTAAAGAGAAAAAATTTCTTACAAGCATCATTTACATGGAATTCATTTGATAATTTTTCTATGTCAATTTCTTACCAAATATAGAAAATTAACAACAAACAAAAGTATAACAAAATTTTATTATAAAACTTATAACTTTTCGTACAGTATTTTTTAACTTTTTATATAATACTTTTTCAACCACTTTTTCAACCACTTTTTCAATAAAGTTTTTTCCTAACCAAATAAACTCATACAACCTATTTCCTTTGAGGGAATGGGAGGGGAGGGAAAATTATTATAACTAATCAAATAATTTTATTGGCTCAATAATTTAATTTAATTAGTCAAAACAAGATCACATCTCCTCCTTTTGTCTCCATTTTTCTCATACTAAATAAACTATCTAGGTGTAACTGCATTTCTTTTTCAGTGTGTAATTAAGATTTGCTAAAGTAATATGCTAAAAGATGTTCATGGGAGACTCGTGGGAGAATGCTAGCTAGCCAGCTTTAATCAAGGCTCATATGACTCATGCTCTACCCTCCATGTCTAACGCACTTGGCCCACTACCTTCCCTTTTGGGCGCCTAGATTAGGAAAATTAAAAAAAAGTTGTATCCTTAATTAGTAAGCTCTGAAAAGTTCATGTCCTTATCCATTTGATATTTCCTTAATTTATGCGTTTTCATCTCTCAAATTAATCCTTAATTCCTTATTGCTTTTGTCAGCTTTGGGCTTGGCCTGTATGTAGTGGAACGATTGGGCTCCTGACTTAAAAACTGAATAAAATGGCATGTACAAATCCAATTAACCCATTTCCAAATACTACTATAATGGCAAGAGTGGCTTTATCAAGCCCAATATCAAAACACAAACATTTGAAATTAACAATAACATAAAATAATGTAAATTTATAATTAAGATGTGCATTAATTAAGTAGTTAAATGCAAAATTATAGGTAAGTCTCTAAACAAAAAAAAAAAAATTAATTGTTTCGCACATTCGACTTAAGCAGTTTGTCACTTGTCTTTTAAGTGAGAACAACCCTAAGTTTGATGTTTGAATTCTTGAGATGACTTTTTTTCTTCTCCCATCGAATGTTAGGATTATTTGTAAACTTGTTTAAAAAAAAAAAAAAAGGTCAATCATATAACAAGTGCCATAATGATAAATTTACAATCTTAGTGGTATTTGTAACTATATAATTTTTTTATGACATTTTCAAATTCAAAAACTATACATATGGAGAAGCCATGAGTAGAGCAAGTGGATGCTCCTCATGTAGGGCTTCTCATCAGACTTGGGTTCAAGTTCCCCCCTTCCCCAAACCCCCCCAACATGTAACCTTGCTCAAAAAAAAAAAAAAAAAAACTATAAATATGAATGTTTATTGAGAATATACAGGTCCTTTTTTTTTTTTATGGTTTAAGAATTTCTAAATTCCATTTCTTACCACTAAACTAAGTATCTTTGAGAGGAAGGGAAAGCGCAAAATAAAAAGATACGACATAATTTATTTCCCTTTGTTTGCCTCAAACCAAACTTACCTTAAGTTGACCTTGCGCAAAAATATATTGAGGCCAAGTCAAAAACCCAAGTTTTAAGCAAACTCTTCAGTTAAAACTTCACCTGAGAATATAATGTGTTTATATGCACAAATCAAATATATTTCACTAGACTTCCAAATAACAAAGCACATGGTCACACCGGATTTTCCGACCTGTGTGATTTCTTCCTTGCATTTTCTAGGGACTGCTGCTTCCATTGTACATGTGCTCTAGTGGAAACACAACTAATGTGAACCTATCTTTGTGCGAAACAGTTTAAATATCTTCTCCATTTGTTGAACAGGTATCATGTTACGACTGAATTGGCACAGCCGCCACACTGCATTTACAAGGAAGCTCTCGTCTATACCTACCGTGTCTGGAGTACATCTTCAGATCAGCCAGTCTTTTAGTGTCCAAATCGTTAAGCAAGCCGGACTTGAAGCAATCTCTCAAATATTTGGGATTAGATAATACATTTTATAGCCTTTTCTATATATTTTTTTTCTTTTCAAAAGATATTTAGATTAGCTGTTTAAATGTAATTAATGACTAATATCCCACAATTAATAATTGTTGTTTTTTATAGTAAGATGTATTATTCACATATACAGGAAATAGCTACATGTATAGGCAGTCGTGTAAAGAAGGATTTGAACTCATGTTTCCGGTATGATGAATCCTACTAATTAATTCTTCTCTGGCTTGGTTAATTGATAAAATAATTTTACTCATTTTTCACGTCAAGACTGACGTTGTCATTTTATATACAAATGCAAGCAAAAGAAACTTTCAACAAAACCCCTTTTGCATCTTGCATGCATTTGCATTTATATACCATAATTCTCCATTTTGCAAACAATCAATTCCATTCTTCGGAATGTGATATGACTCTTTAATTTCTTTAATTCCAAACTATAGGAAGAAAAGAATCACAGAAATGGCCGTGGAGGTCAAGAAATTGCTACTATTAATCATCTCCTTAGGATCGATCATCTCCTTCACTGTAGCAAGGGCAAGCAACATCAGCTGGTGGTGCAGTAAAACGCCGCACCCTGGGCCGTGTGAGGACTTCCTGCATCACTACCCGTCCCACCATCGACCAAACCACCTACCTGAGTTTAGGAACATATTGATCCAGATAGCCTTGGATCAAGCCCTCACCGCACATAAACGCATTGCAGAATTTGGAGACAACTGCACAAGCAAATACCAGAAGGTTGCATGGTCAGATTGTGTCAAACTCTACAATAACACAATCTTTCAGATGAGCCAAACCATAGAAGGACTCGAGAAGAATAGATCCACTGGGTTTGATGCGCAGACTTGGCTCAGTACAGCGCTGACAAATCTCCAAACATGTCAGAGAGGATACATGGATCTAAACATCTCCGATTTCCTCGAACCCATCATGTCTGACAACTTGACATACTTGATTAGCAACAGTTTGTCTATCAATGGGGCCTTCTTGCCTCCCAGGAATTTCACGCCTCAAGTGTTTCCTAGTTGGCTTACAGTACAAGAAAAGCGGCTTCTGGTTTCTACGTCTCTGAAATCTATAGCAAACCTTGTGGTGGCCAAAGATGATACCGGAAATTTCACGACGGTGCAGGCTGCCTTGGATGCGGCAGCGTCGAGGAGCTCTACAGGACGGTTTATCATCTATGTAAAGAGAGGTGTTTACAAGGAGAATATCGAGGTTGCGAATGGCAACAATGATATTATGATTGTTGGTGACAGTATGGGGAGCACCATAATCACAGCTAGTCGGAGCACCCAAGGTGGTTATACAACCTATAGTTCTGCTACTGCTGGTAAGAACATTATTTTATTTCTCTTTAATCAAAACTCAAATTTGAAACCTAAAAGTATTATGTCCTTAACACTCATCATGGATGTTTACCTTGAATAATCTTTAATTATTAGACTAAAAACATTTTCTATATATAACTCTATTGCAGGAATTGATGGACTTCGCTTCATAGCACGGGACATAACCTTTAGCAACATGGCGGGTCCGACAAATGGCCAAGCAGTAGCTCTCCGTTCAGCCTCCGATCTCTCGGTCTTCTTCCGATGTGCCATCCAGGGATACCAAGACACCTTAATGGTTCACTCTCAGCGCCAATTTTACCGAGAATGTTACATCTATGGCACGATAGACTTCATCTTCGGTAACGCTGCTGTAGTCTTCCAAACGTGCAACATCTTTGTTCGCAAACCCTTAACGGGACAGGGCAACATGATCACAGCACAAGGCCGTGGCGATCCTTACCAGAACACCGGTATTGTCATCCACAATTGTCAAATTCTACCTGACCCCGCCTTCAAACCGGTGGTCAGCTCGTACCAAACATACTTAGGGAGGCCATGGCAGCAATACTCGAGGACGGTCATCCTCGAGACTTATATCGATAGCATGATTAGTCCGGAAGGCTGGTCACAATGGGGCAACTCTACCTTTGCTCTAGACACCCTGTACTACGGAGAATATGGAAACACCGGGCCCGGTGCTTCTACGAAATCAAGGGTCAAGTGGAAAGGCTTCCATGTGATAACTAGCCCTAGTGTGGCGTCTGGTTTTACCGTTAGTAATTTTATCGCCGGTAGCTCTTGGCTACCGGCGACAGGAGTGCCGTTCACCGCTGGCCTCTAATGCATGTATAATGAGTGGAGCAGTACTATTTGTTATTATTTTTGTTGATTATATTTGATTGTTACTTATTTTTTGTAACATTCAATTTAATACAAACTATTGTAAAATAAGTGATAATTAATATCAGTAATATCAGCTACACTAGATAGCTATACTAGCTAGATACCAGCTAGCAGATTTTAGTTATACTAGAAAACAGATATATTTCAGATATCCAGGAGCTCAGTTCTTCAAATATTTCTGTTACCATTATTTTAGACTTTAGTTAAGCTAAGTTTGGTATTTTATTTGTATATAAAATTGTAATGGTACAGATTGTTTAAGATGTACAAAAATAAATCTTCCATATTTTATCAATAATTGAGTTTGAGGAAAGTAAATATATAAAGAAGACAAGGTAAGATTATGAGGAGAGAAGAGAGGAAAAGTATGCTTTTTATTCTTTCATTTCTTTCATTCTTCATATTCAATTATAATTTCATACAATACCAGCCTATATATAGGTTAAGGGATAACAAATACTACATAAATTCAATGAATGAATTTGAGTAGATTCATGAATGTAACTTAATTAGAACATTAAATTTTTACTAGTTCTATGAATATAGTGGTTCATGAATGTGATGGTTGTTGAATGTGATAGTTCTATGAATGTGATCAATCGAACTTTGAATGAAGTCAGGTGAATATGGAAAATGGGAGGTGATGGGTGAACCATCCATTTATTGTATAATTCATAATACTCCCACTTAGATGTTCACCTTTTGTTATACGCTTATTATACTGCCTCATTAAAAATCTTATTAGGAAAAACCTTATGGGAAAAAAAACTCATGGCGAAGGGAAAAAGAGAGCAATGCATATAATGCTTCCCTTCACCCAAGGATCTTTGAGACTACTTAATGTTAATCTTAGCTACTCAAACAACTTTGGCATGCAGTAATTAGACAAAAAGATCTTCAAGATGCTTAGTTGAACCATCAAGCTTCACTAGTCTGTTGGGCGTATATTTCACCAGTCTTCTAGAGCTCATATGTAAAAAAGAACTTGAGTGAGTTATGCTGGGTTTCATCTCCTTTGATGTATCCCTCCTTAATTTATTCAATGCATGTAGTATTCTCCTTGTATAGTAACATGAGACTTCCTACTATTATTAGATTGTCAAATACTACTTGAACATGTTGGGTCAAAAGTCATCACCTTGCACATCCTTGATCAACCCCAAATATTGTTATAATTTTTGTTTTGAAGATATGCTGACCACTATTTGTTGAATTCAATACCAAGCAATTGAGAAACCACCTTACATGACAAATACATGCAATTTATGTTAAACTAACAAAAATATTCAATAAATATATATAATTAATTTGGATTCACACTACTTTAATCTTATTTTATTTGTCTCTTGAAGATAATAAAATATATATATTTAATTTGATTCTAATGACTTTGAGTTATTGTAAAACAATTTCTTACTATTTAATTAACATCAAATAACATATCATATTAGTAAGATATATCAACTCATTGATTGTATTCAAATATGATACTTCAATACTAAAATTTATATTCTCAAGTATGAGAAATGTGATCATTTACTTCAAGAGATCAAACAACCATTACTGAGTTCAAAGAATAAGCCTCACCTATATCAAAGCACTTCAAAATTCTTTCAATATCATATTTTTGATGAATTTAACTCAATAAGTTCTCAATATGCAAGGTCAAGACAATATGATATTTCATAATCATTCTTTGAAATTTAAACTCTTATAGAGTTTAACGATAATCAAATCATCATATTGTATTGTAATAGCAGCAAATTTCCACTCAAATATATTGATGAATGTGGTAATTTTCAAATCTTTCTTTTAGAAAGAATTCATTAAAATTGTTGTACCACATTTTCCTTTATTACTCAATGGATACAAATCATTTAATTGTATCTAGAAAAAAAAAAAAAAAAAAAGGCCTTTTCAGATTGGTTAAAACCCCTTTTTGGTCCCTCAACTATTGTACGGACCCCCGATTTGGTCCCTAAACTCAAAAAATCCCTGATTTGGTCCC